CGAAGCACTGCTGTCTCGAGACAAAACCTTGGCAGGAGCACTTTTGCTCTTCGGCGGAGCGATTCTGACGGGGATACTCCCCTCCAGGGGAGGGGGGATCGAAGCCATCGACATCACCCACGATATTCTCATCATGGGAGGACCAATCTTCATCATATTTAAGCATATTCAGATCCTAGTTGTGTTTATTTGGTGGAAGATTATATGTTTAGATCCTTAAGCATATTCAATACACATATGATCTTGAACATGATTATGATTGTGAGTATTTACTTTTGTTCTTGAGGACATGAGAGAAGTCTTGTTATAAGTAATCATGCGAAGTTTGTATTCGTTCGATATTTTGATGATATGTATGTTGTAAATCCTTTAGTGGTGTCATGTGAACATCGACTAAATGACACTTCACCATATTTAGGCCTAAGGGAAGGCATTGTGGAGTAATAAGTAGATGATGGGTTGCAAGAGTGACAGAAGCTTAAACCCAGTTTATGCGTTATTCTGTAAGGGGCTGATTTGGATCCATATGTTTCCTGCTATGGTTAGATTTATCTTAATTCTTCTTTCGTAGTTGCCGATGCTTGTGAGAGGGGGTAATCATAAGAGGGTTGCTTGTTCAAGTAAGAACAACACCCTAGCACCGGTCCACCCACATATAAAATTATTAAAGTAACGAGCGCTACTTTCAGTAATTGCTAAACATGATGAACGTAACTAGACGAGAATTCCCATGTGTCCTCGAGAACACTTTGCTTTATAGAAGAGAACTTTTCGGCTTGTCCTTTGCTATAAAAAGAATTGGGCCACCTTCTCGGACCTTATTACTATTGGTACTTGTTACTTGTTACGAATTATCTTGCCACAAAACTATCTATCACCGCTACTTTCAGTAATTGCAGAAAATACCTTGCTGAAAACCACTTATCATTTCCTTCCGCTCCTCATTGGGTTTGACACTCTTATTTATCGAAAAGACTACAATCTATCCCCTATACTTGTGGGTCATCAATCTCCCATTCATCCCCCTCTGGTAGACATACTTCGTTCTGACAGAAGACGGCAATCCCAAGCGCAATATGTGAAGATGACATAAAAGCTATTTTTCCAGTGGAAAAGAATGGGTATTCGATAGTGGGTTCACCGACCACATGACCGGACATAGAGATATGTTCCACGTAGTCCCAAGAGAAGTGTCACATTCAGAGATAGATCCAAAGGGGAGGTATTAGGCCTTGGTAAGGTGGACATCTCGATAGACTCAATGAGGAAGGGGATTACTTGTAGCTGTGGGAAAAATACTTTGGACATGCGTCCGTTGTCATGGTCCGTGGGTAAATCCACGGATCATCTCTCCTGTAATGAAACATTTCATGGTAGGAACTATTCTTCTTTACAGCATTGTACAAAGTACTAATTGCAGAGGCCTCTCGGAAACGTTTCACGCGAATTCCGCAAAAGAGGGCGTTAGGAGTCCGTTTTAGGATCTCATTTGTGTATTGCTAAAACTAGCCCCTCTCCCGTTTCCCCGTTCACCGATCCTGAAAATTCGCACGTTACTATCCATAATTATGTACTGCTAAAAATAGCCCCCACTCCCTGGTCCTAAAAATTCGAACGTTAACCCCTAGCGACGACTCGCACATTACTACTAGTCGTGCCACGCCATCCACGCCCCTTCACCCTCCATGTGTAGCGACAATTACTGAAATGCGTGGGGCAAAATTGTTGGAACCGAAGCGAGCGGTTAATTGCATCCATTTAAACACCGATGAGGGGTAAGTCTTCCCTTCCCACACGCTTACGCGGTCTACACGAGAAAAAAATTATACCTTTTTTTGCATGGTAATACGTGTCTCATTCATATCATAAAGATCAAAGTACAAGTCACGTAATCACCGATATGACAAAACTGAAAAAATAGCAGAACATCTCTAAGCTTGACACCAACGCCCGTCATCTGCCTCCAGCACCACCACAACAACCACCAAAGAAAAGAATGACAGATCACCTCCTCACCCGAGCTCGACGCAGCTCCATCGCTGATATGCAGCTTTGCGGACCTCCAAGGTGGATCACCAAAAGTGAAGCCATTACTGTTTAACGAATCAGACCGGGGCAACACCCCGGACACTGTTGGGGAACGTAGTAATTTCAAAAAAAATTCCCACGCACATGTAAGATCATGGTGATGCATAGCAACGAGAGGGGAGAGTGTTGTCTACGTACCCTTGTAGACCAAAAGCGGAAGCGTTAGCACAACGCGGTTGATGTAGTCGTACGTCTTCACGATCCGACCGATCTAGTACCGAACGCATGGCACCTCCGAGTTCAGCACACGTTCAGCTCGATGACGTCCCTCGAACTCTGATCCAGCCGAGCATTGAGGGAGAGTTTTGTCAGCATGACGGCGTGGTGACGATGATGATGTTCTACCGACGCAGGGCTTCGCCTAAGCACCACTACGATATGACCGAGGTGGATTATGGTGGAGGGGGGCACCGCACATGGCTAAGAGATCCAAGGGATCAATTATTGTGTCTATGGGGTGCCCCCTGGCCACGTATATAAAGGAGTGGAGGAGGGGAGGGGTCGGCCCTCTCTATGGAACGCCCTAGGGGAGTCCTACTCCCACCGGGAGTAGGATTCCCCCTTTCCTAGTAGAACTAGGAGCCCTTCCAAGTAGTAGGAGTAGGAGAGAAGGAAAGGGAAAAGAGAAGAGAAGGAAGGAGGGGGCGCAACCCTTCCCCCTAGTCCAATTCGGACTAGGCCTTGGGGGGCGCGCGGCCTGCCTCTCGCTCTCTCCCAGCCCAATAAGGCCCATACACTCACCGGCAAATTCCCGTAACTCTCCGATACTCCGATAAATACCCGAATCACTCGAAACCTTTCCGATGTCCGAATATAGTCATCCAATATATCGATCTTTACGTCTCAACCATTTCGAGACTCCTCGTCATGTCACCGATCTCATCCTGGACTCTGAACTACCTTCGGTACATCAAAACACATAAACTCATAATATAACCGTCATCGAACTATAAGCTTGCGGACCCTACGGGTTCGAGAACTACGTAGACATGACTGAGACACGTCTCTGGTCAATAACCAATAGCGGAACCTGAATGCTCATATTGGCTCCCACATATTCTACGAAGATCTTTATCGGTCAGACCGCATAACAACATATGTTGTTCCCTTTGTCATCGGTATGTTACTTGCCCGAGATTCGATCGTCGGTATCTCAATACCCAGTTCAATCTCGTTACCGGTAAGTCTCTTTACTCATTCCGTAATACATCATTCCGCAGCTAACTCATTAGTTGCAATGCTTGCAAGGCTTAAGTGATGTGCATTACCTAGTGGGCCCAGAGATACCTCTCCGACAATCGGAGTGACAAATCCTAATCTCAAAATACGCCAACCCAACAAGTACCTTCGGAGACACCTGTAGAGCACCTTTATAATCACCCAGTTACGTTGTGACGTTTGGTAGCACACAAAGTATTCCTCCGGTAAACGGGAGTTGCATAATCTCATAGTCATAGGAACATGTATAAGTCATGAAGAAAGCAATAGCAACAAACTAAACGATCAAGTGCTAAGCTAACAGAATGGGTCAAGTCAATCACATCATTCTCCTAATGATGTGATCCCGTTAATCAAATGACAACTCATGTCTATGGTTAGGAAACATAACCATCTTTGATCAACGAGCTAGTCAAGTAGAGGCATACTAGTGACACTCTGTTTGTCTATGTATTCACACATGTATTATGTTTTCGGTTAATACAATTCTAGCATGAATAATAAACATTTATCACAATATAAGGAAATAAATAATAACTTTATTATTGCCTCTAGGGAAAATTTCCTTCGGACACGCCATCGAACTCCAGATCTAGCACCCCGCCACGACTAAGACGCCAAAGGAGGAAACCATACCTGCCATCCACGAACCACGAACTCAACACATGTTCCGTCTTCCAGATGTCGTCGATGCAGACCATAATATGCATCCGCTCCTGGACTACCTCCCAAACTCCGTGCTGACGCTGGTGCAAACGCCATCGCAAGGCGGAACCCGAGGACACAGATCCACCACGAAGATGCCGCTGCCGCCACGCCGTCCTTACTTGAACAGAGTGGTTTCCAAATCCTTCTTCAACCATAGGGCTGATGGCCTCGTCAGGGAAGGATCCGAAGAATCTTTATTCAACACCGTCATCGTCGCCGCCGAAGCCAAGACAATGAACAGTTTAAAAACCTAGACTACGAGAGAGTAAAAACGATCCACACGCGTGGATCCGACGACCCCCTCACCACCAACGACCGAGGTCGCCGGCGGAGGGGAGCCGCTGGAAGATTGGCGTCTCCTGGCGACGGCTAGGGTTGGAGCCGCCAGGGACGAGAGGAAGACAACCTGTAGCAATTACACCTTTTTTTTGTATGGAGGGAGTTGTACATCAGATAATGATGTACAGGTGTTAATAAAAAACAGATACTGATGCACAGACAATTTTTTTTTTGAGAGAGAGTTGTACAAAGTCTCGTTTTTTATTTCATGGTGCACCAACTTTCCCTTGCTTGCCAGGAGATAAAAACTCTTGTTAGGGTGTGTGCAAACTGCAAAGTACCGAGCGCAAAAGACATCTCAGAAATTTACCTTTGGTAGAAAAGAATCTGAGAGCAAGGTCACTCGCAAAAAATAAAAAATAAAAAAATCCATGGCCATGGCAAGCCGAGTCCACGCCGAGGCTGCACCCGAGCCGAGTTTCCCGCCGAGGGGCACAACCCAACCCAAAGCTCCCAAGCCTAGCGAAAGTGCGAAACACGTCCAGGAGGGGCGTTGCTTGCGTGTTCCGGTGGGGAGTGCAAAACATTTTGGACAGGCCCCGGTGGGCAGGGTCCGCCTTCTTTCTCCCCCCTCGCCTATTTAAGGCCGCGCTCCCCACCTCAGTTGCCCAGAAGTTGCCCCTCCCCCTCCCCTCCCCTCCCCTCGGATGCCCGTCTCGCTCCACACTCCGCTCTCGGTCCCTCCCGTCGCAGCGCTGCCGCGCCGGGCGGCCATGGCAGAGTAAGTGAGCCTCTCTGACCCGGTCTCTCGGTCTCTCTCCTACTTTTCTGCTGCTCGGGATCCTTTTTGTTTTATTTTCTCACGTGGTCTGGTGGTATTATCTGCTTCTGGGGTCTGGGTTTCGGTTTGATCCGGAGGGGCGTCGCGATTGATTCCGGTAGGTGGTTTCTGGAGAAGATCGGATGGCGATGCAGTGGGAGAGGAGATGTCGGTCTGACGGGGCGATGAGCGTGGGATCGTCGGGGAGCAAGACCGGTGCGAGTGCGACGCCGCTGACGTGATTCAGAGCCTTCCCCCCGAAGGAAGCAGAGGAGTTCTCGAAAAAAAAAGGTGGAGGGTGACGCACCGACGCTTCGCACCGCCGGCGTGAATCCGGCCCGGCTTTCCTCTTTGTTGCAGCGGCAGCGCAGGGGGTTAATGGTCGGCTGAGGTGCCGGTGGAGCCGTCTCGAGTCTCCACTAAGCAGAGAAGGGTGGCGCCTCCGGCCTCCGCGCAGTCGTCGTGAATCCGGCCCGGTTCTGCTCGTTGCTGCAGCGGCGGTGGTGCAGGGGTTCACGATCGATCTGCTTGAGTTGGGAGGGCTCTGTTAAGCGGAGACTCATCTGCTCGCAGCTGTCTGTCACAAAGCAGAGTAAAGAAGTGTCTTGTCCGTTTCGCTCCGTTTTGTTTCGTGGGGACTGCTCCGATCTCGTGGTCACAGGGCAGACTAGAGTTCGCAGATTTGTGCTGTTGGGTCGCCGTGTTGCATCACACCTCGTTTGATACTCTTTCAGTTTAGCCTTCAGGTTTCCGTTTGTGTGCAGTGACACACAAATGACAGCTGCAGGTTTAAGAACAGAGCACCTGTTCTTAAATTCCAGTGCTTCCAGCTGGAAACTGTTGGTGGCATTCTGCGAACCTGATCATGACTCCACATGTCCATTACATCATTGACTTTGGTTGTTAAGATCAATGGGCATGCTCTGCAATCTGCATTAGTCTCCTCTTTCTTCTGAAACAGAGTTCAGTGGTCTATATCTGTCTTTGGCCTAATACGTTGAAAATAGCAAAGCAAGGCAAAAGATCTTGAAAGAAGCACTTATCTATCAAATTTATTGAGCAGTACATAATTTATTACTCCTATCTTCGTTCCTTTGATTTTTTTTAGTTAGTGAACAGTGACTATTCTTGATTAGTTGGCTTTAAGTTTATGGCAGTTAATATCCTATGACTGAACCTAGAATTCATATAGATGCCTGTCTGTGTAAACATTCTTTCATATATTTCCATTTAGCTAGTTTTTTTGTCGAGAAAGGTATGAAAGAATATAAAAAAAGGTACTAGATAATTTTTTGTTGAGAAAAGTGGGATCTCTATCATGTATAATTAATTGAATTTGTTATCTCACAGATTCTTCAGGTCATTGATCGTTACTACCAAGACAATTGCTACGATGATAATTCATCCCTCGCTTTGCCAGGTTGAGGAATTGCTTGCATGGATGGAGTGCCCAAATTGCAAATACCGCATTGATAATACTGATGTAAGTAGCATCCACTCTTTGCATTTACTTTTATGCTCGGTTCTCTTGTAATTCCCCCCCATAAAAATCTGGTGCATCTTGTACTCCCCCTGTTCCTGATTTCTGGGCATCTTGTGGTTGCACTTCATGCTTTGTGTTGCAGGTTTTATCACAGTGGCCAGGACTCCCTGCTGGTGTCAAATTTGATCCAACTGATCTCGAACTGCTTGAACATTTAGAAGGAAAGGTTGGCAGGGCAGCGTCCCATGTACTAATAGATGATTTTATTCCAACCATAGGGGAGGCCCAAGGAATCTGCTATACACATCCGGAAAATCTCCCTGGTACATGATTCTTACTTGGACTTGCTATCAGGGCCTTCTGATTTAAATACTTATACCATGCAGAGTAATTCTTGGTAGTTAACTCATATACCCCTGTAGGTATCAAGATGGACGGGAGCACCGGTCACTTCTTCCACAAAGTATCCAATGCATACGTTGTTGGCAAGCGTAAGCGTCGCAAGATTAGCAATAGTGACCACACTGTCTGTGATGAGAATATCAGATGGCACAAGACTGGAAAATCCAGATCTATCTTAGATAATAACGGTGTCATAAAAGGATGGAAGAAAATATTGGTTCTTTACATTGGTTATCGGAAAGGAGGTGGCAAGACAGAGAAAACTAATTGGAGAATGCATCAGTACCACCTTGGGGTAGATCAAGATGAAAAGCAGGAGGAGCTTGTTGTTTCCAAAGTCTTTTATCAGGTGCAGTCAATGAATGCTGGGCAGTCTCTAGTGTGCGGTGTTAGTGAAGAATTCGATTCATTTGCTGGGGAAGACGATCCTACAACCACAATGACATACCCTCTGCAGACTCGTTGCCCAAACGGTAGCCCATCCGGAACCGAGCAGAATCAGGTATATCTTCATTGCCTATGTGAAAACTTCTGTCTAACTTTATGGATCATATGAAGCTTCAGTTTTCCTATGTACATGAAATAAATCCTATGTACATCAAGTGAACTCTGTTTGTGAGATTATAGAGTATTGACTTAATAGTAGTGATCTGTCGGTGAATTACTGGGGTACCCTGAAACAAACCTTGCAATACTAGGATCCCACTGTTGCGATTGCGATTCCTTCTCAGCTGTAGGTTCAGGTAGTGGATGCTATACTGCACCAAAATCAACAAGATACTCCAACTACAGAGGAAAATTTCCTCTGCTTGCAAGAGGGCTTCCAAGAGTCGCACAGATATATCAGAAGCTTCAAGTCCTTATAAAGATCCATGCATATCAACTTAGAGTAGTACATATATCATCAAGCCTTCTGATTCCTTTACTACCAATTGGCAGATTCAATACATAATCGATCCTGATGAGTGATTACAACAATATACTACCTTTGAGCTTGTGTGGCAAGCTTTTCATGAACCCAAATCACATCTTGAATAGGACATGCATTTTACTGTTTCAGCTGCTAAGATAACCCCCTCAAGTTATGCCTTCTTCCTGAATTAACATTGTGTATGTACACAGTAGTCAGCAGAGTACAATGTCACCTTGTACATTGTGACAACTCCTGCATCTCACTGCCACTCATGTTACTTGTTACCGCTGCAACTGTGACAGGAGGAGGGAGAGTCCCGCATGTCAACTGTTCGGGAAGCCGTGGAATGGCTCGCTGGAAGCTCGTCGCATGCCGTGGAGGACGCACCACTGTCTGGCCTGGATGAACACCTGTCAAGCGGCGGGACCGCCTACCCTGACCCTGAGGGGCAGCCTCTGCCGCTTGACGCGGAGGCGCTCCAGGAGTTGCCCGACCTCGGAGCGCCTCCGGATATCCCCCTTCCACCCGTAAGTGCACCGATTGCCGCCACGTTTCGTTTCCCGGTGCATATATATTTCTCATGGCTCATCTCCTTGTCTCGTGTATGTTTTCGGCAGGACATGAATTTGGAGTCGCAGGATAGCATGGAGATGTGGCTGGCCAGCGTGTTAACAGAGGATGAGGAGGGGTTTGAAGTAGCGGAGCAACGAGAAGAGGCCGGTTTTTCTCCGTGATGTAGTAGTATGTTGTATCTCTGTGCATGAGTGATGGATCTCCGAGAAAATTTTGTATATGATACTGGAGCTTGCCAATTGAGCATTGCTCGGCTATGTTTAATGTTTGTAGTAGTAGCAGACATTTGTTTTCAAAAATGTAAATGTGGGAGCACCACTCCCAATTTCATAGCCATAAAAGTCTGAATGATATACAACAACAGTCAGTCCTTCTGAAAACTTATCAAACCCACAACGCGCCGAGTGCTTGTTCCTGAATACCAGACCAAATATGCCCGCCAAAAAAAGAAGAAAGAATACCAGACCAAATAGTGCTTGTTCCTGAATACCAGACTCGGGGGACGACTAGGTTTTCCCTCCGCCACCTCCCCATCCCGCGCCCTCCCTCACTGCCGCCTCCGGTGGCCACTGGCCCGCGGCAGCGGTGAGGCCTCCCCCGCCTCCTTCTCTTCCACCTCTGCTTCCTCCCCTCCGGTGCACCACTTCCCGTGCGTGAATCCACCGCGGCTGCAGCTCTGTGCTTCAACTTCTTCGCGACCACGTGGCTCGTTGGTGCTTTGATAGCCGTCCATCGTCCATCCAACGCTCGCCATTCCTCCATACCACTTCGCGTGTTACATAGGATCGGACGGTTGGGAGGACTCAAAGCGTCGTTGTTTACTTTTCGGCAAAAGAGCAACTATGCCCAACTGCCATGTTTTACCTTTTTTGTTTCGATTTTCCCTTTCAAGTATATAAAGCCAATGATCGAGAGACATCTAGGATATTTTGCTTGTATTGGGGTAAACCCTTGCCGCCAGTGTTTTTGGTTGACACTTAGGTGTATGCGAACTCCTCCAAAATTTCTTGCAATACAAGCAAAATATCCTAGAGGTCTCTCGATCCTTGGCTCTAGTTTCGCTAAGTTTTGTTATTGAGTGAGTGCTAGTCTGAATTTAGTTCTTCGGACCATATTGGGTTTGGCAAGTGGCAATCAGAGCTTCTTTCTTTTAAGAAAGAAAAACCCTCGGCCTCTGCATCAATCGATGCATGCACCCATATTATTAAAAAGTGTAATAAAGTCTTAGGGTCCCAAAAGGCCCATAATCTTAGTGCAAAATGAAAGAAAACATTAAAAAGATGCCACATGCAGCGATACATAGCAGGCTATGATGCCTATACACCTAGCCTATGATTAACTCGCCATCCAAATCGGCTGAAGATAGCCCGTCCTACCGTCTCCCAGCGCTTGCACCCAATAACCAAAAGCTCTTTGTAGTCCGCATGAATGATTAATGACCACATACGGATCGACGTTGTAGCTCTGTAGATAACCTGCAAAAAATTCGTGAAGTTTGTCCCATTAAAAATCAAATCATTTCTAGTATTCCATATAGCCCAAAATAGTGCACATATCCCTATCCGAATATGTTTCGCTATATGTATATCCACTCCATTGAGCAACGTCCTAAATAACGTGTTTATGCTCGTTGGGGTATGGACGTTAAAAGCTATATGTATTGAGCACCATAATAATTTTGCAAGTGGACACTCGAGAAAGAGGTGTTTAATCGTTTCATTGTGATCACAAAAACAACATCTGGAATTACCAATCCAACTTCTTTTTAGCAAGTTATCTTCGGTCAATATGACCCCAATGTGAACGAACCACATGAAGATTTTAATTCGGAGCGGAACTTTAATCTTCCATATGTGCAATGACCTAGACAATGGCCCGAAATCAATTAGATCCTAGTACATAGATTTCACTAAGAAGGTTCCATTCGCAACTAACTTCCACTGAATCGTATCCTCATGGTCCGATAGTTGAACTTCCACCAACCTGCGGACTAGGTGCAACCACTCGTTCCAACGTTCCCCCACTAGGGATCTCCTAAATTGGATATTAAGCGGTACCGAATTTAATAATGTGGTGACATAATCTTCCTTACGTTGCACAATATTATATAGGGATGGGTATTGCAGAGTCAGAGGCATCTCCCCTAGCCATGTATCCTCCCAGAATCTAGTAGTGGTACTTTACCTACAATGAACTTCACACATTGAAAGAAGGTGACCTTTGTATTCATTAACCCCTTCCAAAAAGGCGAGTCTGTAGGCCTAGCTATAATCTAGGCCAAAGTCTTAGTGCATAGGTACTTATTTCGCAAAATTTGTACCCACATATCCTCGGTCTCAACCGATGGCATGTATAGCCATTTGCTAAGCAAGCATCTATTCTTTACCTCTAAGTTCTCGATCCCTAACACACCTTGGTCCTTTGGTCTGCATATAATATCCCATCGAGCCAATCGGTATTTCTTCTTAGCCTCATCACTTTGCCAAAAGAAACGGGATCAATAGGAGTCTAATCTTTTCTGTACCCCTACACGCACTTCAAAGAAAGATAAAAGGAACATCGACAGGCTCGTCAAAACCGAATTTATCAAAACCAGACGACCTCTGTAAGACATTAGCTTGCCCTTCAAGCAACTTAGTCTTGTTTCAAATCTATCTTCTATACATTTCCATTCCTTGTTCGTTAAATGTCGATGGTGAATTGGGATCCCTAAGTAACTAAACGATAGGGATCCCATTTCGCATCCGAACAATTGTCTGTACTCATCCTGTTCCTCTTTCGCTCTCCCAAAACACAACAATTCACTTTTGTTAAAATTTATTTTTAGTCCAGACAAGCTTCATATTCCTGGCTTTTGCGACATCGTGCTCCATGAAAAGAATGGTGTCATCAGCGTATTGCAGAATGGACCCCCCCCCCTCTACCAGGTGGGGAACTAGTCCTCCTAATTGGCCATTCTCTTCAGCCCGATCGATGAGGACTGCCAACATATCCGCTACTATGTTGAACAGCACGGGGGACATGGAGTCCCCCTGTCTTAGCCCCTTGTGTGTCTGAAAATAATGCCCCGTGTCATCATTTACTTTTATCCCAACACTACCCTTATGTATAAATGCGTCCACCTGAGATCTCCAGGACTCATTGAACCCCTTCATATGTAGGGCTTGCTAGAGGAAGGGCCATTTGACCTTGTCATATGCTTTCTCAAAGTCCACTTTGAATATAACACCAACTAGTTTCTTTGTGTGGATTTCACGGAGAGTTTCATGTAGGACGACAACCCCTTCAAGGATGTGTCGCCCTGGCATGAAAACAATTTGGGTTGGTTGAACTACTGAATGAGCTATCCATGTTAACCTATTCGTACCAACCTTGGTAAAGAATTTGAAGCTTACATTGAGAAGACAGATCGACCTAAATTGCTTAATGCGAGTAGCCTCCACCTTCTTTGGCAACAATGTTATTATTCCAAAATTTAAGTGGAATAACTATAAGTGACCGTCGAAGAAGTCCCGAAACAAAGGCATAAGATCTCCCTTGATGATATGCCAACATTTCTTTTGAAATTCCACCGAGAACCCATCTGGTCTGGGGGATTTATTTTGTTTCATTTGTGGTATTGCATCAAACACCTCTTTCTCAGTGAACGGAGCAGACAACACCTCATTCTCATTGGAGCTGAGCTGAGGTATATCCCCGATCGCGCTCTCATCTAGAGACACAAAAATTTCTTTGGGTGCTCTGAAAAGCTTCTTATAATATTTAGAGATGTACAGTTTGAGGTTTTCATGCCCTACAATTGTACCCTCATCTAATTCAAGTTGAATAATTTTCTTTTTTCTATGTTTCCCATTAGCTATCAGATGAAAAAATTGGGTATTATCATCCCCTTGGACGATCTTAGATACCTTCGCTCTAAGTGCCCATTTCATCTCCTCCTCTCGCAGAAGAGCTTGTAACTTATTCCTCGCCTCATTCTTAATGTTTCGGTCAGACGTATGAAGAATTGTGGCTTCCACTCTTAAATCAATCTCATTAATAATTTTATCAGTCTCTCCTTTTCAACTTTATATAAACTACTTTGATTCTTGGCCCATCCTCTCAGGAACTGGCGCAAATGTCTAATTTTGTTTTGCCATCTATCAATATTTGAGATCCCTCCCGACTCCTTGGCCCATTCTGCTGCAATGAGATCTGGGAATCCTTCCCTCTCGAACCATCCTAATTCGAAAGAGAAAATATTCCTGTTTCCCACATGTATCGCTTCCCCAGAATCGACCAACGATGGAGTATGATCAGAAATGGCCCTCTATAGGGCGTGAACCGTCACCAAAGGAAATTTCTATTCCCACTAAACACTAGTGAGAACCCGGTCCAATTTCTCATAAGTAGGGACTGGTAACGAATTAGCCCATGTGAGTTGTCTCCCAGTGAGGTCCATCTCCCTCAAATCAAGACTTTCAATGATCGTATTAAACAGGAATGACCATCTCCCATCGAAATTGTCATTATTTTTTTCATCTTGTCTTCTAATAATATTAAGGTCTCCCCCACCAGAATGGGAAGTATTTCATCACCACAAATTCTCACCAAATCTGCAAAGAAATCGGGTTTAAGCTCTGGCTGGGCCGCACCATATACGGCCACCAAAGCCCATCTGAACCCATCAACTACGTTTATGTTAGTCCTTGGCGGCAACTGGATCCGGGTTCACAAGAGAAGTTGGAGGAGCTGTAAAATCCTTCTCTTCTCCCTGGATCCCGGCAGTAGTGCAAGATCGACGGTGTTGGCAGCGGCGATTCATTCGGGTACATGTTTACTCAAGTGATGGTTGCGAAATATCCTTGTCTTACTCGTATAATCCCACCCTCCCTCCTAGATCCGGCGTACCTTGGGTGTCGTAGCATTAGCTGTTGTGCTCGATGGTCTTATGATCTGTTCTACAAGGCCTAGTTGTAGTTCTGTTGTGGTAAAATCCCCTTCTTGTCTTACATATCGTTGGGTAGCGAGCTGATTGATGTTTGCTTGAACTATGTCAGTATTTCCCCAAAGAGGAAGGGATGGTGCAGCGCAACAACGGTAGGTATTTCCCTCAGTGATGAGACCAAGGTTATCGAACCAGTAGGAGAACCACGCAACACCACGTAAACAGCTCCTGCAC